AAGAGGGACGGATCCTAGAGTCTTCTACCTCTATTCCTCTACCCTCAAGCTCTCGTAGTGGATGTTCGTAAATATATAGATTCTGCGTGAATTCACGTCTTCTTCGAACGTAAATGATAATCACTTGCCACTCGCTATTCCTGTTGGGCGGCAAATAATGCGTGCGGTATGATAAAGGAAAAAATCTAGTCTATACGCATTTTTATATGTCTTAAACCTCACTGCCCATCTGTCTTAAATTACGATTAAAGGTTGCAACTGCTTTAAAAAAGTCTAAATATAATTTTGATATTTATGTTTAATATTCTGATTTCGATTTTAATTTTCCTTGGAAATTATGAAATATTATCCACTAATATAGCTGAATTTCTTGCAGAATTTAAAACTAATTTCACACACATTTCTTCCAGGATAACCTACTAATCAGTGTATCAATCTTAATGCTATTTGTAGAGTTTAATGATCTTTTTTTGAAGGTTTCTAGGATAATAAAGAGATTTTCAAATATTTCTAAAAAACATAATATTAGGAAACAAAATTTGCCGATATCCTTAAAATAAAGGATGATAACTATCTGACAGAAAGCAATGCTTACATAATTAAATAGTTAGCACTCCGTAAAACATTTTTTTTTTCTTTTTCCTGTTGAATAATATTTAAAAAAAAGCAAATAAACTTTAAGACGTGAAATCTTATTTACCTCATTATCGAAGAAAATGTACGACATAATCAGTTAGCATTAATACTAATTACTTAGTTAGTAATACTTTATTAGTATTAATATTCACTGGCTACCATTAAGTAAGAAAAATCAAAAAAGTAACATATAAAATAACATGAAAAGAACTTACCAAATAATTATGGTGTTATAGAAATTTGCATATGTATAAAATAAACAAATCGGATGTGTCACCTTAGTATAGCAAAATTACATTCAATATGGAATTTGATCTCCCTTAGAAGGAATACACGAAGATATTGCTGTGAATTATACGGTCTAACAGTTCCGTAGAAAGTGAGAGCTACTGCTCTTGCAAAGCATTTGAAAGCGTGGCAAAGATCTGATGAGAAGGATTTAGAGCAACTATACGTCTTCCTAAAGCATCCCAAACATTCTCGGCAGGATTCAGGTCTAGTCAGCCTGGCCACTCAATGAGCTAAATAGTTTGCTGCTGAAGACAGTTATTCACCATGTGAGCCGTGACGATCTAGCGTTGTCGTTCTGTAACAAGAAATCATCACCTACTGCCCCTGCATTAAAGGCGCACATAAGCTTTCAAAGATGTCATCTCTATAAGTCTGAGTGTTAATGGTTCCATGTGGAAAGACAAGGAGGTCTGTGCTTCCACTGAAAGGTATATGACCCCAAACATAGGCAATGCTTCCTCTGTATGCATCATTTTTACGGATATTTAATGGAAGATAACGGGTTACAGGTTCTTTGCAAGTAAAATAACGCCCTGTTTCTTTGGAGACAAAACCTAAACTCATCCGTAATGAGAACAGCCCACCAGTGATCAGCCGTCCAATCGGCATATTGACGAGCCAACCTCAAATGTTCTCTTCTATGACGTGACGTGAGTGGCAAGCAAATGGCTGCTTGCCTCACGTGCAGATCTCCTTAATGAAGCCTTCTACTCACGGTTGACGTTGACACTAACCTTCTGGTGGCTGCCTCAAGGGAGAATCTTAGATGAGTCTGGAATTATGGTTCTATTTCTTCTTGCCCATAACAACAAATATTGGTCAGCGGTGCTCGTCGTATCGGTTGGCTATCCTTGGCTGAACATCATGGATGTCGAATTTGTATTTATAAATTGTTGTCAAAGCCTATGAACCTCAAAAAGACTCAGATTTAGTCATCTGGCCACTTCTATCTAACTTTGTCATGCCTCTAGTCTTTCAATAGCTCCCCATTGCAGTTCTTCCGGCAAATGATGGCTGGAGGTCATAGTTACAAATTGATTTTTTTCAGATTTTTAACATCGCAGCGAAAGTTGCAGGCTTACTCTGAAACATTCAATTTTATGCTCCTCGCAGATGACGTATTCCAATCGCAGCGCCACTAATGTACATACTGCACTTTTATTCAACAACTCTTATTTGACATCATATTAAAATTTTATACGGATTGGCTTACTTTTCACGAGTTATCGCTATCTTTGTGACCAGTATAGTATGTCTCATCCGTGTATACATTGCCAGTTTATCTGTAAATATAGTTTGTATAAAAAACAACTGTTAATATTTAGACTGTTGTCGATAAACACACTGTTATTAAAAAATGGCTCTTTCATCATTGTATCTTATTAAACATGAATACAAAGTTTCGAGCAGAAAATTTAAACTGCATAATTATTTTGTATATATACATAGAGAGAGAGAGTAGCAGAAATAAATTATGATTGTATGGAAGTCCCAGCATAATAAATGTGGTATACCTAAATATTATGTAAGCACGTGATTAGGTTAATGTCATTCTTTTCATGTGGAAAATAATTCAAATACTCCTTTAAGCAGCTAAACAATTGGGAAATTTTCTTCAAAAACTGAAAAATTTTCTTATCTTGTACTCCTTTCGCAATGTGAATGCAATTAAAATAAATTTCGAAAGGAAATTATTTAAACATAAAATTAGGATTCCTTTTTATGTAATTCTTTGCTTAGACGTCTTTGGAAGAAGTCATAAAGTACCGAGCAGCAATATAAAATCAAAACAGGAATTTAGAAAAAAGCCGTAACGAATTGAAAGAACTTGGAACTTGAAAGCGAATAAAAGAGAAAAAAATAACCAACTTATCGTTAATATTAAACGAAGGAAAGTGCCTTGGCGATAATTAGCTGTGCATGCCGGTCTTTGAGGAGACCAATAAGATTTCCTCTAAAAGAAAAAGCTCTAATTAGGCATAGGCAAACTTCAATAAGCTTCTAATCTCCTCTTCCAGGCTCTAGAGAATAGCGCATGCTAATTATTTATTGCTTAAATTGCAAAGTACTTCTCCTTTTGTTAGAGCTCATGAGCGTTACTTATTATTCGGGTTTAAATATTTTTCAAAGAAGACTGCCAAATCTTCCGTGTGCTACTTCGCACATCATTAAATGTCTGTTCTTTTTTTTTTTTTTTTTTCCCCTTTCTTTCTTATTCGCGTCCCAAAGCTCTTCTCCTTCACCGAAAAAAACGGAAAAAAATGGAAAGAAATGACATCTTGTTTCGACTGTTAGTTCTGTCATTTTACTTTGTAATTTTTTCCGCGCACTATTATCATTTCAAATCATCTAGCAAATGGCGTCTATTGTGCTCAGCACTTTCAAAGAACTGACATATACAGATTGCAAGAAATGAAAATAATAAAGTAAACGTTTTTGTCACTTCTTTGTATGCTATTAACGATATAAAGAATTTTATTCTATTCGAAAAATAAAACAAAAGGTAGTTATAAAAGGGCAAAATATTTCTTTGCTGAATAATTCTTGTTTTTTTAATCTTTAATTAATTAAAAGTAAATTCAATGGATTTTTAAAAAATATGATTTATTGTATTCGATTTTTGTGTTACTGTTTTTATATCAGCAATTCAGTCATAATTTTAAAGTCACACGAGCACAAGTTGATGTTGATTCATATTTAATAAAAATATCTGATGTTTACACCACATGACTTCCTTGTACGGAATATTACATTATACGCACTTTGTTGCATTTCATTTAAACTTATTTCATCGAAATTAATTATAGATGTATTTCTCTTTCAATTAATTCAATTCTACCTTTGCGACAAGGCAAATATATATAAAACCTCGAAATATCTTCATTAAAATGTGAAAAACATAAAACACCAAATACAGATAAAACAATTAAAAAACATTTTTTTTAAATTACAATTAGAGTTTCTACGAGAATGCAAGCAATTCGGTCAGCAGACAAGCAAGCAGATTTTTCTGTGCACAAAACTAAAAGTTTAATATTGGTCCCATTCGGCCAAAAAGACAGTGAAGATGCAGAAACAGACTTAATTTACTATTCTGCTAAGTTTCCAATGTAAACAAATATGGCTGCTGCAGCAGAAAACATTAGTCACTTAGTCTCACTTTAAACACTGTTAAACTGTTGATAATTCTACCACTATTCATTGCAGATTAACTAAAGGCAGAAAAGCCTTAACCGACAAATAAGGACAACGTAATTCAATCATTTTTAAAGCGAAAAATGCACAATTTACCAACATATAAGAATAAAAAAATCTGAGCTCATTGAGGCAGGTAACATAGTGGGTGTATATGAACGCTTTCAGTGAGGACGATTGCAATCAAAAAGAGGGATGCGCAATTACATGTTATGAATGAAAAAAATGAACTCACGAAGCCTAGTAACAAAGTTGATATATATACACTATATATATACTTTTGGTGCGGCGAAAGAGAGGGTGCATTACGCCATGTTATAGCAGTCCTATATATAGAATTCCAAGGTACTGAGGCTATTCATTTTGGAGTTATGCGAAATGCATAGGTATGCACGTGTAGAAATCACAAAAAATAGCTTTTGAATTCATTTTAAATCAATATCAATTTCTTAATTCATTTCAGAAAAAAAAAAAAAAAAAATTATTGTATTCTTTCCTTACGTACAGATGCCACGCAAAAACATCCTTAAACTGCATTCGATAGAGGTCAAAATGGATATTTTCGTTGAAATATGATACCTTGAGTTTTTTGTGATTATAATACTTCCTTTACTTCGTACGTGGTAGTAAAAATTGAAAAATAATACATAACTCTCATTGATCGGTGACAAATGAATTTGACATCAACAGCTCTGGATGTTGCATTGCTTTCCTTTGTTGCTGCGTATATTAATTAATCATGCATTACTTTGATACAAGCTAAGATATATGCGAAGAGTTTCATTAATTTATTTAAACAAAGCCATATTTTTCTTTGCTGTTTGGTTTGTAAATGCATCAGGTTTTTAAAAATCAATATTTCTTTCTTTCTTTTCTAGTTTTATACCAGAACTTCGATGCCCGTGTCTATGATGAATTCGTAATCAGGGGAAACATTGGAGTTCTTCGATGTAACCTCCCAAGCCATGTGAGAGATTACGTTAAAATTACTTCTTGGAAGCGAGATGATGGGTTGGTAATTTTGCAACAAAGATCGAATGGTAAATATCTAGAATTAAATTTAATTTCTTTCTCCACCTTCCTTTATCTACCATTTTTGGATTTTTGTTTTAAAACACTGGATATATTTTCTCTTGAAACGTTGAGAAAAAAATTGCTTAAAAAATACAATCATAGCACATAATATGAAAGACATAAATGAACTATACAATGCGTTATTCAACACAACAACATTTACTTGCTTTTTAAAAAATAAATTAACTTATTATTTAGTGAATTTAGTCGTGTAGAAGCTATTTAACGTTTATGAGCAATAGCTGCAGTAATACAAAAATGTTATTACATGTGGCATGTGAATTCCTTTTTAGATCAAATATAATTCCTGGAACAGAAACTATGTTAATAATATACTCTTTCATTTTACACTAATCTACAAATTTTATTACAGAAAATTTTTACAGTAAATCACATATAAATATCCTTTGCTTTAGAAAGAGATTATTATTATACGTTTGCATTATATTCGCTGTACAAGGTTACTAATAAAATGCATGATAATTGAATCCCATGGATTATTTCAGTAACCATAACAGACCTAGCTTTAATAATTTTACATGGAATTTACCTGTAAAAGTTGCAGGGGTTTAGTCTATGATGTTACAGGGAGTAATTATGCAATTAGAACATATGTTTCCCGTGTTGGAGGCCAAAGTAGTATATATCTATGAAGACTACAGACATCTCGCTCTTGAAGTTACTATAAGTAATTATATAAACAGAGCATGTATTTTGCATTGAAATATAAATGGGTATATCTGTGAAGGTTACTGATATTTTTTGTGCAAGTTTCCTCGAAATAATTATGCAGAACATGATTTTTCTTATGTAAAATCTCAAAGGATATATCAGTAAAGAGTACATACATTTTGTTTGTAATTCATTAAAAGCAAGATGCAGATGTAACAAAAGCGAATCCGTTTAACATTTTAAACCAGTTAAAAAAGACATTAGACTTATGTTAATTTAAACCAAATACTCTATATGTTTCACAGCATTTACAGATCTCTTTCCATCAAACATGCAAAGCATTCAGCTGCAAATTCTTTTTACTCTAAGTAAGACGTTTGTCATATAAATCTCGAAAAATATAGAAACTTATAGTCATTTTTTTTTTCAATCTTAAGTTGAATTCTAAATTAATTAAAAGCTAAAACTTAAATGTTTTTGTTATAGCTACACCTGTTCTTTTATTTACTTTTAAAATAAAGGACAACTGAAACTATACCTATATCATAAAACAGTTGGAAAATTATGTATGCCATATTTAATGTTTTAATAACAATATAAATGAGAAATATTTTTTAAGTTTTCGCCCTGTAGAAAAATCAAAATTGATAGGTGAACGATGTAAAGCATTTCAACACCTATATTATGATTATATTTGATTACAGAATCTGTAAATGTTCAGCTTAAAGAATCTAAACCTAAAATCATGTAAGGATTATATAAGAGGGATAAGTCGTTGTGATTTGAATGTTTCAGCTCTCACCACGTTTTCTATTCATTGTAAAAATTTGTAATCATTGTTACTTTACAATGAAAAAATATTTGTTTTCTGCGGAAAGCCATTCAGTGACACGAAAATAATCAATGATCTATTTTACTGAATAAATAACTTACAATGATATGTCTCTTATTATTTTATGAAATGATTTATAGGAAACGCTTCAGAAAATGAGACAGCCTACGAGGCATGTGTTGATTTTTACACTTTGAAATAAATCTATAAGTCACGTAAATAATTTTTTTGCTTTTATTTGCATGCAAAAAATAAATCTTTAAAAATGGCATTTCAGTAATTAAATTCAGTAATTCGTTCTACCTAATTTAAATACACGCGAACTAAAATTAAACTTCTAGCATGAAAGCGGATCACTGTGTGTAACTGCAATCGTATCCATCCTTTATATATAACTTTAACCGTATATGCTTTTCAGTAATTTCGAAAAATATGAGTTACTAGATATTTCTCGGCGACCGGAGGGGGGACTGTATAAGCCCGAAGAGAGCATCGGTTCTCAGTTTTTAGTTCAAAGCTGTTTTCGGATTATTGAGATATCTCCGGGTGTGTTTCACTCTTTGGATGCTCTTTGCATTGCGTTGTGTTTAACATTATTAGTAATTTGAAGTGGTAACTAGTGACTGTGCTTTGATATATTGAGAACAGCTGTACGAGTACATTTGGGGATGTTCCAGGCCGGTAAAGTTTTTCTTTGGAGAAATGGAATTTTATCACGCTATCATCGATTATCTGTGCCTTTAATCCATTGCGAATCTGTACGCATACAGCAATGTGAAATCTGATGCTAGAAACGGTAGCCTATTTAGCTTTTTTTCCTATGTTATGCTTTCGATAAACTTTAAAATCTTAAAAATTATTTTAAAATTTGATTCTTTGATACTGAAGAAATTTAGAAAAGAACTTTTATGCCAGGATACTGAACACAGCGTATGATCGCGTTTTTAATTAAATGTAAATGCATTTTACTGCTATGAATGAGATAGCTCTTTCTGGTTGGACCGTGATAAACGGCAGACGTTCAAACTTTCTTGAAAATTGTAAACACCCGAACTTTCTTCTAAATAAATAATTCTCCTCTATGGATACATAGTTATGCATAGAGGCATAGAGCGCATTACTCATTTTGCAATGCTGCAGTCGTGTTTCAAATATGAAGTTAATAGAATATAAAAAGTTTCTAATTCTTATATATAACGCAATTAAAATTAGACGGTAAATTTTGCAGTTAAGAACATAAACTCCATTATACAAGTTAAACGTTGATATTATTTTTAATTTTTTCAATCATTTTCGCTGAGTATATTAAATACTTATATTATGTTAATTAAATTTTAATTAAGAAAATGATGTTTAATTGATAATTTTGAAAATTATTTCATAGGCTAATTATTTTTATATTTAATGATATTTTTTTCTTGAAGAGTTTGGTGAAGATTCTTTCACATTTCGTTAATTTATTTTGAATAGACAAAGTGAAATGATAAACATTTCACAACTAAATGAATTTTTCAATTATCTGAAGTTTTAAATTCCATATTCAAAAACTCACCGTACGTTTACACTGAGTGTAATATCCACTCTGGTTAAGCTGCGTTATAGGAAGAGCACTTGGTAACGCATAATTTGGAAATTAACGTACTTTCCTTATTATGTATTCTATACATATAACCAATATATAAATAAAGAGAATATTTTTTTTTCAGCGATTTATGCCGCACGTCATTCCGATGAAATTTTAATGCCCCAAAAGAATCAAAGAAACAGAATTTCAGATAAGCATCTCGTTTACGTAATTTCGCTAACTTTTGATGATCTACTAAAACATGACGCCTCCTAGTTGTTGATAGAATAATGAGATAATTTGAAATTCCACTACTGAAATACACTATGTGACAACCTTTAAAAGTCTGATACAATATTTTTTCTTAAAGAATGAAGTCACTCAACATTGAATCTTACTTCTTTTCTAATAGCTAAGAATTAGGTAAAATATATTCAGTTGAAGGAATAATTTTTCTTCACTTTATCCGGTGTAACTTTAACTTCTTTGAAGAAGCCTCTTTTCCATTGAAAATACAAGAATAAAACTGATAATTCGCAAAAACTTAATATCGCTTAAAGAGTGATTTTTATTTTCTTCTAAAGTAAAATTTACCAGGGCACATAAGTATTCCGCTATATTTTTATGCAATATTAATGGCAAAACTGCTTCGCAAATCTATCTTTTGTTCCTCTTTCATGAATAATAATGTCTTTTTTGACATTATTATTATTATTCTCTTCATGAACAATAGTCTTCTTTTGTAGCTAATATTGCTGCACTGCCATCCTAATTTCAAAACTAAATATATAGCATTTCATTGTTATTCAAGTTATTTCATATCATGTTGTTTTTATGCATTGATTTGCTATATTATTAGTACTAACTGCGTATGAATGAATTATGAATTGCAGTATTGAGAGAAATAATAATAAAGTGTTGCTAAAATAACTAATAAAATATTGATAATATTGAGCGAAAAATGTGAAAATCATTTTATCCAATGAAGTTCGTTTCTCCATCTTCCCACAACCTTACAAATTATGCAAAAAAAAAAAAAAAAAAAAAAATACGATTTCTGTTTTTGCATTTGAAAGGGCATAAAAGTGCTTTTATAAGTCTTATACAGCATTCTAGCTGAAATGTATAACTAAATGACATTTAAATGGAAACAGTAAACATGTGACGCTGTTTTGTTTTCTATTCCTTTTGAAAAGAGAAATGAAGAATAATTCCCTACAAATAATGGAATGGAAACCAGGGAGTGTATGATTCCCGAGTGCAAAAGATAAAATTTTAATACTTTGTATAGTTTTTTATTTCCTAATAAACTGGCATTCTCTATGATAGCATGTTTGAAGGAATAGCATATATATATATATAATATATATATATATTATATGTTATTTAATTATTAATCTTCTAATTTTCCATACTTTAAACAGTATTTAGGAAGTTTTGATATAACCAGTGGAATCAAGTTTATTAAAATTTTCTTTCTTTAAATTAGACTTTAATAAACATTTTTAGGGAATTTTTGGAAAATTTCTAGGAAATTTCTGAGAAATTTATGGGATTTTTCTTTTTTAACTTACATTTTTTTTCTTTAAATAACAAAAATTTTTAAGGAATTAATTTTAAAATTTTAATTTTACTTGAAAATTATGGAATTTTTTTAAACTTTTTAATTTGCAATTTTCACAAAAAAATCATTTTTTCACCAACGTTATTATTTACATTATTTACACAATTTTCCAACAGAACACACATTTGACATTACTAACAAGTTTACATTTGCAGACTAAACTCCCTACCATAAATAGTTGGTCAGTTAAAATTAAAACTTGAATTACATGTAAGGTCCCTCACTTGAAATCCTAACTTAATGTTGGAAGTGAGGAACCTAGGAACTGATAGCG